CGAGCGTTTTTATACGCTCGAACAGGCGTAATCCTGAGAAAGAATCCTGATTTTGGAGATTCCAATTTCAGAGTGGCAAACCTATTTTGAAAATTGGTTGAATCGATCATGAAGAATACAATCAAAACATTTTCACTATTTCACCATTATGTTTTCATTGTTAAGCGCAAGACTTAAAAGCTAGCTTCGTTAACTGTCTATAAGGTATTTATTATTTTAAAAGAAGCAAAAAAAAAAAAAATAAATAAATAAAATCTAAAGAGGCAAAATCCTTTTCAATAGTATTATTAACTAAAGTGCTACTCATTTATTATTTTATAAGTTATTAAATTCTTTTACTAAAGAAAACAGATCCTCACATTTATATTCATCTGTTATTGACACACTAGACTGGGAAAATATAAACATGTCCACACTTTCTCGATCCATTACCATTTATGCGGAAGTATATATGCTAACATAAGTCATTTTTTGATTGATATTTCAGATTTCAGTATATATAGTCAGGGGATCGGGAATGTACTGTCGCATATCTTTTTTGTCAAAGCTTATGCTAGTATTCATGTTCTAAATATATTTCCTATTATTAAAACTTATTTAAATTCTTTAATTACTAAATTAATATTGCAAATTTTAAATTAAGCATTCATATACTCTGAATGGATTTTGAAAGTGTCCAAAAAATTTTTCATGATGGCAACACCTTACCATAGGATTCCTTAAAATAAAATGCAATGATTAAAGAATCTTATCACATTTATTTACTTAATTTTTTCATTACAACTTACATTTTTAATTATATATATATATTTATATATATAATAACTTATTATTATTTAAATTTTAGCTCATTTAATTACTTTTACTTTAGCATTAAAATATTTTAAATATTTTTCATATTGTATATCTAAATGACAAAGGATATTAAAATGCGCATAACATAACAACATCTCGTATTAATAATTTATAACTAAAATATAAAAATTATATTATATTATATTATTAAAAATTAAAAACTGAATTTGAATACATTTTTGATGATATTATGATTTTTGGATTTATTTAAAAATTAAAATTTTTACGAATATTACTGTTAAAATTTGTGGCTTTGATTAACAAAAATTTAATTTATGATTTTTGTGTTTCGTATTTCGTATTTCTTTGCTAAATTTAAATTAAATTTTCAATACTAAATTTTACTTCATCATGTGATTGTCATACAAAACATTTCACATAATTTTCATAATTTACATATATTATTCGATTTTTTATATTTAATCTGCTTGTGAATATTTTATAAGTTAAAAGTTTTTGTTTTTTGTTTTTATTTTTATTTTTGCTATTTGATATCTACAATCACACACACATTTTTATTTTCAGTTAAGTTTCATAGAATTTATGTCAATATTTTTTAAGATTATTAAATTTATTATGAATTCCTTTTATTAAATTACTTCGTTTGGTTTTGTTTTTTTTACTCTTGAAAAGGACACAAATTGTTTGAGCAAAGGTTTTTTGGGGAATACTTAAAGAACTCGTCAAGACTCTTGGAATTTTGTGACAGATATTAAAGATTTTCAACCTATCAGAATTTCAATAAAACAAGTTGAGGTATTTTTCTAATTAAGTTCCTGGCAAATATTTATATATAATTATTTATTCAATTGTTATGAAAACAAAAAATATTTGAAGCAAAAATAAATATTGAATGAGTTAATATTAATAATTTAAGCAAATAGGAATTTTATTAAATTAATTAAAGTTTGGAATTTATTTAGAATTTAATTTGCAATTAAATTTCGTTTATTGCATTTTTGGTAGTTTCAATTGAAAAATTTTAGAAGGGTTCGAATAGTAATGAAGAGACAATAACAAACATTAGTTAATTTATTAAAATTTGGCTGAGCATAAAACGCTGTTTCGAGCCAAATTTCAATAAATTAACTAAATTTTTGTTGTTGTCTCTTCTTTATTGTACTAACCGTTCTAGGACATTAAAAAATTTTATTTTAACTTCCATCGTTTAAACTTCTTTCTTTCTTTCGTACTCTATCAATTAGTTGTTGTAAACGATAAGCACACTAGTGCTGCTAATGTTTTATATACTGAAATGATTGATAATACTGAAACTAGAGACTCAAACAAGCAAGGTATTAAAGCCTTCTTCCACTATGTATGGAACACATGTTTAAAAAACGAAAAATATATGGCGTAACTCAAAAACCTTTAAAATCATCAAGATCATGTGCAAAGACATATTCGATGAATAATATATCAAATGTATGACCTATAAAAGTCAGACAATATAGAACTTAATAATCAATTGAAATTACAATCAATGACATTGAAAATTAAAAAGACTTTTGTCTATGTCGGAAAACTTTTATCTTGTTATCTCATTCTATGATAATGAACCGTAATTTATTCTCTATAATAATGATGAATAATAATAATGTTGTAGATTGGAGCATAAGTTGTGGTGGCGGTTGGGATCCTCAGATAGTCTTGTATCATTGGATTTTATTATTTAAACTCCTCATGATAACCATAATCATATGGAACTATATAATATATATAAAAAAAATAGATCCGAATTACAATGATATTAGTGAATTTTGCACTGTACTCATAAACTTACATAGGAACCATGAAATGTGGATTCTGAGTGTTTTTATAAATCTAGTTTTCTTAACAAAATGTAGTAACAGTTTAGTGATAAGAGAGAAATCGTTAGAAATTTCATGAAGCCTAATTTGAATTAATAAAAAATAATTAACTTCGTATCTAATATTGATAAATTGGGGTACACAACATCGCTTCATTGGGTTAATGTTCGTTTGTTAAGTACGGATCTAATGCATATGTTAAGTAAGTATGGTAAACATATGCAAAGTAGAATTACATACCTTATACTATTCGTAATACTTTTCAGTAAAATAATAGATATTTCATACATTTATTTTATCAATTTCAATACTTTCAATAATTAAAAATAATGAATATGACATATAGGTGGTGTTCATATACACAATGTATTAAAAATTATTAAAGTTTTTGAAAGTCTTAAGTTCATATACAAGAGTGAGTCAGTGATATTTTTATTTTATCAGATCGATTTAGAAAAGTAGAAAAAAAATCAAAATGACTCAGTAGTGATAGCGATCTTAGTGATATTTTTATTTTATCAGATCGATTTAGAAAACTACTAACAAAAAAAATCAAAATGACTCATAGCGAATTCAGCTTATTTTACCACAATACAACGTTCAGTAGAGATAGATTCCTTGTGGTAAATTTAAAATTTTGAAAATATTTCCGTATAATAAATGTTTATAAATTTAACTGCATTTTTTTTTTATTATTATTTTGTTATAATTTGTACACAATAATTTCACACATCAATATAAAAACTCTTAACTTCAATAGCTAATAAAAAGAATTAAGTTCTGCTAAACATTATTTATTGAAGCGTCTAATTTTCCTTAGCGATTTTTTTATACTATTTGTGTTTTCACTTTAGCTAAAAATGTATTTATATGCATATATAAATTTAATATATATATATATGTATATATAATAATAGATTTATTACTAAAATCTGTTATAATTATAATAAGAAAGTATAAACTCTTAATGCTGTTAGCAGGTAAAATTTACATTTACAACTTTAATATTATTATTTATTAATATTTGTTATAAATATCTTAATATTGCTTATCATAAACTTTTCAACGAAACGCAGCAGCAAAACATGTAGAAATTTTTTGAAACTAATTCCAGTATTGCGCCTAAAACGTTACTTTAAGTATTTGCTTAAACTAAAACCTAAAGAATTAGCTTAAAAAATCTCAACAGATTCTGTGTGCGTTTGTTTTGCTAATTTCAAATAAAATATTTATTAATTAAATAAAAAATTCGTTTTTATAATATTTTTATGTTTTCATTTGAATTTAAGTTTATTTATTTATTTTACAACTATTTACAGTTCGGTGTAGTAACATACTAATTTTAAATATTTTAACTAGTTTTTTCTTTCTTTTACTATATCAAAGTAGAGACTTACGCACTAATTGAATTGTATATAGAAAACTTTTAAAAAATAAGCAAAAAATAATTTTTACAATGGATAAATTTCGAGAATTGCCACTGCAATTTCTTAAGCTTTATATTTACACTTAATAATTTTAAAATTTTACTTAAATTTATTAAATTTAAATTTAAATAATTTATCAGAAATTATGTTCTTTAATTTCGTTTACGTCGAGCTAAGTTTTTACTCACTACTCACACTGAGAGCTCATGGGTTCATTTTATTAGTTATAAGGGTCCATAAAATCTTATATGTACTATTTATATATATATATAAATAATTATATTTTTTTATCGTTTCTTAATGCAAAATTCTTGAAAAATTCAATTAACAAAATTTCGTAAAGTTTTTACACTGTTTTTTTTCTCTAGTCTCTTACGAATATTTTGGTAACATTAATTTTAATAAATTCTTTTTATTACATATATATTTATTATTTATTATTTTTTTTTTTTTCAATGAGAAACATATAATATTGTTTAATAAGTAAATAAAATATTACCTAGAGATTTTTTATGGTGTCACATTTCTTAAGGTGGTTTTTACATATCTGAACATTTAAATCTTACGAATTCATTGTGCAATGAACCTAAATAAAATGTTGACTATTTCAAGCCATACGAAATCGTATGTATATCGTTTGTGTGTGTGTGTATGTATGGATTTCTATTCCTTAAAATGTTTTTTTTTCAATTTTTCTTTTGCTGGCAGGATCTCTGTTTTAGTAACTTTATGTCATCCCTTGTTAGTATAAATAGTTAGAGTAGTTTTGTGGAACTGCTGCTGTTGAGAATTTTCCTTTTGAATTATCCTTGGAAACGTAGTTTCTTTCGTATTTTAGATTTATTATATTTTTATTCTTTTTTAAAATCAATGTTTAAAAATGAAGTTAAAATGTTAATTTCGAACCTTTTTTTTATAAGAAATATGTTAGCAAATAAAATTTAAAATTATATGAAAATATTGTCTTTCAAAAGCTTAAAAATGTCAGTCTTTAGTATGCTTCATAAATGCCTGAAAATGAAAAAATAAAAAAAAATTTATTAAATTAGACAAAGTGAATAAAAGTTATTAATTACTATATCACAGTTAATAAGTTATAATATAAAATAATATAAAAAGTTTCTGAATAAAGTACTCGTGTTGCTGTAAAGCAGCACTTTCTTTGTATGGTGACAAAGAAGCTTTATTAAAATTTAGAAGGATTTTGAATAGCAAAGAAAGAAATAAAGGACAGATAAAGAAATAAATTTTTGAATTTGTCCTTTATTTCTTTTTTTACTATTCAAAATCTCTCTAAATAAAAAGTTTCTCTGAAGATGACTATTCGATAGTCGAAATATTGGAAAATATCTTAATTTCTTAATTTTAAAAATAATTTGTTTTAAATATCAATAATAAATTATAGTCTGTTTTTTATTTTCATTGAAATGAGCAATTAGCCCACTCATAAATTATTATATAATAAATGAGTGAAAAGTGATTAATATAAAGATATAGAATAAGACTGATAATGAGAATGAGTTTACCTGGTAATCAGACCACGGCATTATTACTAAAAACATCGTTAATGTGCTTTCCACTTGAAGTTTTATCCTTAATGTTACATTGCTAATAAAATAAGATAAATAAAGTTAATTATTAATAAAGTGAATAAATGAAGATGGACCAAAATATTTGTAATATAAATAATTATTTACAAAAATTAAAATACCCAGATTAATATGTGTAATTTTTTATTTAAAAAAAATATTTTTTATAATTTTATGTGTTAAATAAACGACTTAAGCTTGGTATTAATTAAAAACTTAAACTTCATAAAGTTAAAAATTTAATTCTTTATAAATATTTTTCAAATAATTAAATAATATAATTGGTTGGGCAAAAAGTATTCGGCACTTTACAGTTCGCATGCCTATGAAATACAATAAGTGACAAAATGTTGAATACGTATGTACAGCGATACAAACCTATTAGATTACTGGTGAATATTTTAGTGAGATGAAGAAAAGAATAGTGATTAAATTCATGTTCAAGTCTTCAATTTGCTATCTTAATTCATATTTAGGTCAGTTTTCAGACTTACACTATGTCACTGCTTACTTAGTAAGTTACTTAAGTAACTTTAAGATTTTATGGTTTCTAATGACAGAAGTTATTTATTGCATGGGAATAGTATAAAATAGTATAAAAAGTTTTATAATTGATGATCATTTCAGCTTCCATATTACATTGCTCTAATAGGCGATAAAAAATTGATAATATACGATAAAATTGTTGTCTAAAAGTGGAGTATGCAAGATCTTGACTTCAAGATCTCGAATTTACTTCAATACTATCAGCTAATATATTAAAAATTCAAAGATTCCAGAATTTCGTGATGAACGATCATTTTATTTTTAGTGTAACATGAGTCAAACGAATGATAAAAACTGGTTAATATACGATGAAATTGTTGTAATTGTCGAGAATGCAGTAGCACAAAATTTGCTTAATGACGATCATCTGACATTCTAAAGTAAAATTCTCAGAATGCGAAAAAAAAATAACATAAAAAATTTAGTAGTCGACAGTCGTTTCATCGTCCACATAACATTACCAAAAATCTTCCCTCGTAACATTGGAGATAAAAAGTTAATCATATATCCTAAATTGTCGAGAGAGTAACAGCTTAAAATTAGCTTAATAATGATCATTAAACATAATGGAATTAAAAACTCTAAGATCGATCAAGAAGAGTATAATAACTTCCGTGATCGACGATAATTTGATCGTTTGTATAATATGGCTCTAACAAGCGATAAAAATTTGATTATATACAATAAAATTGTCTTGACAAGATAAAGCGGTAAGAGTGATAGTAAATCCCTGTTGAATAATAGATAATAAAGGAAGTAATACTGTAAAGGAATAAAGGAAATAATATACGACAATTGTATTTATCTTTATAATGAAGGTTACGTTTTCTAACTGCAGATACTAGTATGAAACTGGAGTAAATAGTGTGTTTGGTATTCATGGCTTTTACTACTTAATTTAATTTTGGCAATAATATTCTAATGTCATAACATAATTCATATGTCACTGGCTAAATCCTTCAACTTCGTAATAATATAATTTTTATTACTCTTACACACTCAGAATTTGACAGGATATTTATTTGAATTTTATTGTGAACTGTGAATTGTGAAATTTTTGTATGTAGTAAAATTTTTAATTAAAAAACCTCATTAATCACTTCTCATATGTCAACGACGGAAGAAATTGAAATTCAATGTGAATTGAAACCGAAATCAGGATTCGCTGAGACTGCCAATGCAAAAGTCGTTTGGCAACATCTGCACGCACACACAAATACACAAACACACATGCACATACGCACTCGAATGTTGCGTACGTCAAAATGGTAGCGGCGACGAGCGGCATCGAAAACCAACACAACCAAAACAAAAGCGGAAATGCACGAAATTACACAAAAAATTAATTAAAACAATTAGCAACGTTTAATTTCGAGCAATTAAATTTCAGGCGCGTAAATTTCAAAATTACATGCAATATGGCGCCTCAAGTGTGTGCGGGATGCGGGGTGTGGAGCTGCGGGATAGTGTACGTTGCGGCCGCCATTAAGAGCAAAAGTAAATTTGGTAATGGCGAAGCATAAAATTAAAATAAAATACGCAAAAATGCTGAGAACTGAAAAATGAAAATTAAAATCCGAAAGAACCAAAATTGAAGAAGAAGAAGAAGAAGAAAAAATAAAAAATAAATAACAACAAATAATAAACGAAAGCAAAACATTTAAAATTAATTGCTTTTTCGAGTAGCTAAAAACTGAAAATACAAAACTCTGAGTACTGAAAATCGAGTACCGAGTGGCGATACGCGATACGCGATAGGCGAGAACTGAAAGCGGTACAAAAATAAACTGAAGAGGAATGTTGTTAAAGAAGTGGTTGCCACGTTGCGAAAACTCACCTCCTGCTTAAGTTGCCACTGCTTCATGGCTGATTTATACTTCTCGAATTCATTACACCAGTGCGAGTAGATTTTTTGGTAATCGTTTTTCTTCGATGGCGGCGTACATCTGAAAGGAAAAAAAAACACACACCAAATCATTAAATTGTTAGTCAAAGGAATACAAAGATATGAATACGCATTTGTCTATACGTGAATAGTCGGCATTTTTCGAAAACCGTAGGAATAACAAATTGTTGCTGTTTACAAAAATGAAAGCAAATAATTAAATTAACGTTAATAATATTTAAATTACTGGAACGAGGCAATTTCTGCTGAGTATACGTATACGTATAAGCAAACTAAGGCAATAAGTTTGATTTCTGGAGGGGTGGGGGGAAACAGAAAAACGGAAATTAAAAATACAGCAGGTAACAGCGTTCATAATTACTATAGGAAATGTAGGAATAAATGAAGTGAGTTTGAAAGACCCAACAAAATTGGAATTTAATTAGTTGAATTGATGGTTGTTAAATTGGTGGTGGAATCTCAAATAACATTTGGCTTAGATTGCTCTCTTTTTAAACAACATGTGTGAAAGTTTATACATATTGTATATATATGGTATTATGGGAAATATTATTAAATAATACAGAATGTGCTTGAATTATTGAAATAAAAAAGAGAAATTCCCATTGAAACTTTTTTTCAGCTTTATTTTCCTTACAATATTCAAGATTTCAGTTTTATACTAAGACATATATGGTTTTTAATTACATATGATAGATATTTATATCACATTATTTATAGAACCCGTTTTGAACTTTTTGTTAACAGTGTTTAGTGTTTAATAAACTCAGTGTTTAGTTAAAGTGCGGTGCAGTCTATCATTTTTGAATGTCATTCAAGTTGCGCTCTCTCTTGCTCAAATTTATTCTAGCGACCGAAATTGAAAACGCTCACATTTAAGAGTTGTAATTCAAGCAAAATTTTTGTAGAGAAAAGGGTGTTTGCGCACGCTGTAAGTTTGTTAGTGCAACTACTTAAAGATATGCTCTTGAATGGCGAATGTAAGTTTTTGGGTGACAGGCTATTATTCACAACATGTTCAATTTTAGATTTTTTCTCTTGAATGACACTCAAAAATGATAGTCTGCACCACGCTTAGCAGTGTTTACTAAACGCTGTTATATGTAAATAAACCACTTATTTGCAATATAGTAAGTTAAGTTATACCGGCGATCTGTGGAATTTGTATTTTATATCGTTAGATTCTAGTAAAACTCGTCAACCACTGTAGCGAGAGACGGTTGTTTAATTGTGCTATTGTAGCAAGAGACTGTACTGTAACAGTGAGTTGGCCACACTAATCGGACTACGAGAAGTGTCCTCAACTGCTATATTCAGAAACAGTACTTTATTTGTTCGTTGAGCATTACACATCTCTTACAACAATGTCTTTATATTTATTAAATACTTGTGTTTAAACTCACCTGTGAGCATCTACATTAACGCTGTAACTGCAAAGTAATGTGCCATCTAAATAACTATCATAACGTCCACCATCGCTTTCATCAACTGAGATAATTACAAGTCCACCTTCAGAAGTTTCAATGTATTTCGTTGGTGAGTAATTTATTTCATATCTGTAAGTAAAGAGGAATTATTTAATATAACTGAATTGTTATTACATTATAGTGATATCAGAATGTAATATATATATATATACGCTTTTTTGAAGTCCTCAAACAATGGATATTAGCTTCATATTTCTTTATATACCATTCACTTGTTACAAATAATTTTTTCTATACACAACTTCAGGTGCTTAAAGTCAATGCAATTAAATGGAAAACGTGTGAAAGTGTTTGGGAAATGCTTTTCCCCATATTTGTACGAAGCGACATCAAATAGCAAGGATATTTTCCCATTTATGGTGAAACATACTTAAGCGTATCCAAGTTCATAAATAACAATGAGAATAAAAATAAAAATTTAAATTGAAAAGTTCGACATATCAAAAAAGGAAAACAACGACCAAATAGCGGTGTAGACGACGATGGTTGCTAGGATAAAAGTTTTGCCATCAAATGAAATCGTAAGCCAAAACCCAAACTGCCAAGAAGATGAGCAGAATGTGAAGAAAGCACCCCAACGAGACGTCAAGAAGTTATAAAAACCAAATAGAAAATAAAATAGTAAATGAAAATGCACATAAACGCCGAAAAGTAGACTCGCATATTTTGAAATGTCAATTTACCAAGACGGATACAAGCGAGTTTTCCGTTTGTTTTCTTTCCACTCCACATTTTTTTTTACTTTTACACTTTGCACATCATTTTTATTTTTATTTTTACTTTTACTTTTTTTTTTATTTTCATTTCACATTGCAGCGGATTCAGTTACATTTCCGTTTACTTTATTTGGTTTGAATGATTTTGTACTCGAATATTTTTTTCGATAACGTTTTTGATTCGGAATGTTTTGGTAATAAAAATTTATATTTGCATCGCTGGCATTGCTTCGTATTGAATCTTCACGTTGAGAATGAAGGCATCGTATTTCAAAATAAACAAAAATATAGAGAGTAGAGTTCTACTGAGTAACCTTTCTCTAAGCAAACCGCCACTGCAAGCCGGTACGACTTTAAAGTAGACACTTCAACTACTCGCAGTTAACAGTTCCAAGTCTAAAGCGCACTTTTCTGTGAATTTGCGTTTAAAGACACAGCTGTGTTGTCTCCAAGGACCTTTGGAACGTCATCGCAATGTTTAAAGTTTTTAATGTACGTTTCCGTTTCAGTTGCATGCTTCAGCCGAATTGCGTGCAGACGTAAGCAATTTTTGTTACCTTTTTAGGGAAGCTAATAATTTCATTTTGGTTTTTTTCTAATTTTGTGGGGTTGAAAGTCAATGAAAATAACTTCAAATATTCAAACAGTTGTTGATATTATTAAAAAGTTATCAATCCATTATAGGGATTCTATTTCATTGCAGTTTGCATATTTGGGGTGCTAATAGCTGTGTTGCTACATGTGTGAAATCAAAAGCAATTTCTCTGAGTTCAGATTTCAAAGTGAAGAACTCAAGAAAGACATATGTATATATACTTAAATACACATTTTTTATTTTGTAATTTAGTACTTCAAAATGTTTTCTTACCGTCCTCGTTCATTTGAGTGATGATACCATCGCACCGATTTTTGTCTCAGTACTTCCGGTATTTTCACAAAGCACGACAAATGTAATGTCTGTCCATATGATGCTGTTATACGTTTCTTTAAAACACTTGTGTCACAAATGCCAGAAGTCTCATTGGCAACGTCCTGAAAAATTAAGAAAAATTAGAAAATAAATATGATATTGAATTAATAATATATAAACAAAAAAATATAATATAGAGTTTTATGATAAGGTATCTAGGATTATTAAATAAAAGATAATAATAATTTCATCAACGAAGTTTAGGCTAGGTGAAGTAGAGGGATGAATGAGTCCTCCACAATTAGCTTAAAAGTCATTGTTATTCCAGCATTCCTCGTAATGGTAGCTCTGTAGGTCATGTTAGAACCAGTCGGAAGCATTGATAAATGAGGTTGATGAAGAATGGGATACCCAATAGCTAGAACCTGGTTCTGGACAAACCTGAACATAGATACAACAGATGTTCTGGTATCTTTTCTACGAGCATTGCGAACACTTAAAATCTGTCATTATTATAACTCAACCCATTTAGTGTACAAACTATCCGAAACTATTAAATAAAAACCAATAAAATCTACAAATCAAAATTTGAAGGTTCAGCCAGTAATAAATTGCAACAGCAAAAATCTTTATATTTAATTAATTGAATTTTTTGGTTGACTATATAGTTGCTTCCAGTATGGTATTGTCAATTACTTATCATTAGTAACCTTTAGAAGCAACTCTTAAATAATTTTGTTACGAGTACCTTCAAAGTAAACCCCATCGAGTTAATCTAATATTAATAATCAAGTTATAATATATTAAGCTAACCTTATAACTAGTAATAACGTAATTATTTATATTACTAATAAACGTTTTATTTGTTATTATCAAAATTAAATTTATTCATTATAAAAATATTATAACACACTCATTTATACTTACTTGTAAAAGACCCAACTGATAAGACTTGCAAGTACCAGTTTCTTTATCCCAGCCGCAATAGGGATCTGCAACACAACGGAAACAGGAATCATAGCGAACTTTACACATAGCTACATCGATTTGTTTGACCATATGATCGGTAGCAATATACAAGGAACCAATTTTGGGACTAAGGCCCATTTCACGTATAGGTTCATTATGTGCTGCCTCAAATATATCTAACAAATTTGAGTGCCTATTTCCATAACGTACGAATTGTACGATTTTATAAATTAATCCAGTACTCGTACCGACGAAATATACCAAATATTCCTGATTAAGTTTATCTATGCGAATTCTGCAAAACAAAGAAAAGAAAATAAAGAAATAAAATATTTTTAAGTGAGAATATTTTTTTCTTAGAGCATTTTGTGAAGCTTTTTATATTAGTTTCTGGAGACTAGCAGATCTCGAAAAAGAGTTTTCCATAACTACCACCATTACAGTTTTTAAGTGATCTTCACAGATCTTTTACCTTAAATATTTATTCCCATCGGGAAATGAGGTACGGTCTTTACTATAATAAATATAATTTTCTTCAAAATTTAATGAGGCTTCTGATATTAGTTCTTTAACATTTCCTATGAATTATAGCCTTGGTTCTTGTTAAGATTTTCATATAATACTCGTAGCTGAAAGTTATTAATTTTTCTTCTTATTTTTGACTGATATCATAAAAATCGGCATTTAAAAGTCTAAAACTCTATAAAGTTTAAAAGTCCTGTCAATTATTCAAGATATTTACTATCCAAACTGTCTACAATAGACACTTTAGATTTATACACTCAATAGATTGTATAAATATTTAATTTTTTCAAGATCATAGTCTTATCTTTTTTTTTACCACTAAATACAATAGATATATTCCACAATTAGTTTTACGTTAGATACAGAGCCTTCTCCAAAGGTAAAAAGTCTTAGTATCGAAAATGTAAGAATGATAAAATAAGTTCCCCTACCTTTATAGTCAATATCACATGCACACAGTTGGGTCTAACAAATTATATAACAAAATTGGGTTTTACACAATAGTACGTACACTTAAAGTATCATGGAGAAATGATAATGATAACTGGTTATCTAGTATGGAACAGTCTGTGTTTATGTCATATTGCGAGAGAGGGAAAAAAGAGGTGCAAGTTGGTACAAAGTTCTTTCAGGTTGGGTGGGCTTACATGATAATGGACTTCTTGAATTAAAAGAATGTATGAGAGTACTTTAAACATGGAATAATTTTAAGTTATGAAAAAAGAGTAGAATTGGGCTGAACTATAGATACTTTGGAGAATAGAATATTTTCTATTATTAAAATATATTTAGACTGAGCGACCCATACTGAAGTTTTATGTTATTAAATGCTCTATATTTAGAGGCGTTTTAAACACATTTTTAGAGTAAACACAGTAGGCTGGTTAAGTTATTAATAGAAAGAGTACACATAAAATAATGAATTTGCAATTATTTTTAATTGATATAAAGGCTGATATAAATAAAAAATAAAATACACCGCCCTGAGTAATAATGGTCTTATAATAATAGAAGTAACTATAGTCTTCTTCAACAGACTATAGTTTATATATATATATATTGTGAGACGTTAGGACAGCGTACCGTCCAGCAATGGCCCCACTGAAGTGTAAGATTAGACGAAGTAGACCACGAAATGGTTTGGATCCTTTTCGTCCTTCGATTCTCAGATTTCGTTATTGAGTTAAAACCAGATAGGCTTCCATTCGTATAACTATTCAATAACTATATTCTATAGTCTATTGACTATATATAGATATATATTTATAGTAATAAAAACCAATCTATGAACTTCGATTCTTAGAAATCGTTATTGAGTTAACACTAGATTGGCTACCATTCGCGTAACTACTCAATAACTATATTCTATAGTATATTGACTATATATAGATATATATTTATAGTAATATAAACCAATCTATTAGCTTTTACTTCTTTTTTACATTAGCCTTTTTAGCAATAAAAAATAATTAAAAAAGTGAACTAATTTGAATTATTTTTATGCTAATGTATTTTAGACCTCTCTTTAGGTCAGTGGTTTATATAAACACAAAAAAAAATTTAATTTTTTTTAAACTTTAAAAAATTATTTTCAAATTGAACTAAAAACTTACTTTACTATGAAATCTCAAGTTCGCGAGATTTTTTTTTGTATTTTTCTCTTAAATGCAGTATGCCACAGAAAGTCCTTTCTTGTGCTAAATGACAACAGTTTACATTATTTTATATAAAAACTGCAAAAATGCAGCACAAAACGAGTTCAAACATCTGCAAAAACGCAGTCACATTATAAACTTAGACCAATGTTTCGCGGTTTTTTAAGTTTTCAATGCTAAAGAACCAAAAAGTAGAGATCCATATTTGTTCTGCTTTATGTTTTTTTTTCACTATGACATTCGTATAATTTTTTGGTATGTTCTGTGATTATCCTTTTCAAGTAAAACGTTTACCGCAGCAAATTTTTCAAGACTAACACTTAAGTTATTTACTAAAACTATTTTTACACTGCAAACACACATTTTTAATGCATTAAGTGCCGAAACTCTTGACTTGAGCAATTTTAGAGCTAAACCGAAACCGGAAACAGGCAGAAATAAAATTAAAAAAATAAATTGTTATTCTTGCCTACAAAACCGCTGCTTAAGTAACGCCGTTGAGTTTTGGCAACGAAGCCGAAATTTCGATTTATTTTGTATTTATAAAGTTTTACTCAAGGCACTTTAAATACTTTTTACTTGACAGAGCACTTCCCTTGCCCTCAGTCAACCCTTTGCCATGCAACCAAACTCATAAATTCATTTAAAATGCATTAACTGCAGCAACTTACTTGTCCACAACCAATTTGGTTAGGATAACATCACGTTTGTAAAAGACGGGATTGCCAAATTCATGATCGACCGCCTTATCCATTAGCGGATGTTTACGTATGAAATTCAACACTGAATCAGGCAGTGCAGCGGTATCGTTTGTGCAAGTGCCAGGACGTGGTTCTGGAACTTTCGAATTCAGTACTGGCAACCAGGCGGAATTTGATGTGGCTTGCTCCTTAAACTTGCCTGCAAAATAAATAAAAAGAAATTTTTATTAAATTTTAGATAAATGAGGTTAGAGTATAAAAAGTAGTAGATAAAGTAGTAGATAGTAGTAGATATACATAAATACAATATATTTAAAAACTATTCGTAAGTGATGACTTTGAGTACAATAAATGACTATAGCTTTTTTAAAATAATATTCTTTATTCTATTTAGTTCTGATTTTTTAACAATTTTCTCTTGTTTTTCTAGAGATTTCATACTGACAAATCCTTTCTAAATACTGAACAATTTTCTACTAATTACTATTTTCTTTGACATATCAAATGTTGTGTTTTGTTGTGTTTAAAGGACTTCAAGTCCTTTTTTGTTTAGTTTATCTTATTTTGACATTAAGAGTGTGCATAGATTTTTTTGCATTCTTCACAATCACAATTTTTAGCAACACCATTTGTTTTCCTAATTAATTACTCTGGTTACAAAGTTTTCCACAAAAAACTTGTACTTTTTTGGCAAACTTGGCAAGAAAAATGTTTTTAATAAAAGTTGTGGTAATGAATTTTAAGTGCCAGCTTACGGGACTGCTGTCTCTTCACTGCTATTATGAATTTTTAAAAGTTTTTCGGAAAATTAATGAAGTTCGATTTTGGGCTATCTGGGTTTATCAGTGGAAACAGACACAAAAATATAAAAAATTGGTTGCAAAGTCGAAAGTAGTTAGTTGGGATGCTGTGGATATAGATCTGTGGAATACATATAAAACAAAGTTCAACAATCTTTTTTGACAGCCCTCAAAATCTATCAAAAACTGGTATCGAAAGCCTCGCGAAATTCTTAACCAACTTTTTTTTTCGGTAAAGACTGAATAAACAAATCACTGATTCTGTTATTATGTGATATCTATAATAACAGACTTAAGTGACCCACAGGTGGTGTACGTGAGGTGTGAAGTACACACTTATCCTTAAGCCAAAAGTGAGGTTAGGTTCGAACAACGAATGTTAATACAAGTACCAACACTTGTACTCGGAGACATCTATCGTCCATAGTAATACTCTCAAAATCACTTCAGAGGGGTGAGTTACACTAATCGCCATTATCATCTTGTATTATCGCTGTTAAACTTGTTAATCTTCTAGGTGCGACTAAAAAAAAATCTAACAAATCCACATTCGTATACCTTTCCACGCGAAAACGATAGATACGGATGCAATTTGATGCATTATTTATACTTAACGAATAGTCACGCCCAATGTCTTGGTAAAAACAATCATTGTTTCGCTGCGATCGCTATTGTTGTTCTGTCCGTTGTCAAGGTAGTCGATGTTGCAAGGGTGCCACACCTTAACCGTTTTGCATTCCATTTTTGAGCTCTGCTGTCCACTCAACTAAAATGCTACTTCGACTCCAGAGTGAAGTGATGGATCCAAGTTCTTCTTATTGTTATATACTAGTGCAGTCTTTTTTATGTCACTTCTAGGAGGAGCCACTATTTTAGTTTACGGCTTATCAAAATGCTTTTATGAACTTTGATGTTTTTCGATGTCAACACCTCTTATGGGTAACCAGCATGTTATTGTTGAAGCCCGTGAGGATGTGAAAAGCAGATAAAATGAAGGAATTACACGCCGAGTACATGAGTTTAGATGTTGATGAGTAATGTTTAAGTGAGAGTAAGAATGGTTGAGACTTTAATACAAATCAACCATGATCACGATAAAGAAACCTGGCCACTTTAATGGGGTGGGTCCAAAGGCTGATTTGACTGAGGTTTGTGTGATTGGCACCGTCATGGGGTGTAGAGCTGCGGTTGACCTACACTAGGAATTGATGTATTTATGCGTAACCAGTAACTGTAAGTACATGGCTATATCATGATCACAAATGAGCTAGGACAAATATTGTTGTACGGAGTAATCATCGTTCTTTTTGGGATTTGTTAGACTGGAGATTATTGAGAACCAAGCTTTTTAGTGCCACTAAAATTGTTGTAACTAAATGAGTAATCTTCCAAATGTGATGAAATTTGAACAGGTTTCATTATAGACTTGCCACTTTTTGAAATTGATATAGATTTTTAAATAGAAACGCTGCTAGTGTGTTATCTTACAGATTTATGAGCCGTTGTGTTAGTCCTCGACAGAAACATAGAAAATGGTTCATTGATTCTGTGTCTTCTTTATAAAATTCTGTACAATCTTATTATCGAAAGAAGACACTCTTGAATCATCGGCGGAGTGGTGTAGTATCGCGCAAGTAATTAACTAAGTATAGGTACGTGTTGTAGGCTTGTTGAAACCTCAAAAGTTTTTCGTTTGAACTTAACCTTAAAGTTGTCTCAACCTAGCAATATATTTATTGTTTTTAATTTTATTTTTAATTAAATAATAAACTTTTTTTATCTCTTGTAATTTTTACACTTTCATAATATTTGTGCAATTCTTTTCTCAAATTTTATAGCCTAATTTGAAACAAAAAATAGCTACAATCAAACTAACAAAATTAATGAATTCAAAACAAAAAATTGTATTAAAAAAATTAAATTCTACCTTGCAATAGGTAATGGCAGTAGTTTCACTTACAATAATCTCGGCTGTGTAACATTTATGTGGTATCTTGAACCCAGTGTGGCCTCATTAGATATATAAAAATATCTTGTTTCACTACAAAATAACATACATTTTGTAGATCCGAGGACAAGGCAGAGCAAGCCAAGCCATCGTAAGACAAGAAAAGATACAGTGGAAGGATATAAAATTTTTGCAACAAAATACTTTGAAGCAGTTAAGTGCAAATATAACTAAAAATTTGCATATCTTTCAAGGACATCAAAATGTAGAGCAACGCAAAAGGATATTGCAGTGGTTGTGCCGGATTAAGGCCATTTTGAGATAAAATGTCGCACTGCCGAGATACTCGTGTAAGTAAAAGTACTTAATGTAGCACAATTGCTACAATTTATACGTTACAATGTTGTAAGGTTGTAACGTCGTATAAAACCGCTGCAGCAAATAGCGCTGGGCGTTTAAGCGGCAAGGGAGGACGAAGTAAGAAATTAAGAGAACTCCAGTGTGCTGCACACAATATCAGAGTTTAAAATGCCAACATTGTCGACATTTAGAGGCGTTTCGCGATATTTCATATGCAGTGAGCGATTTTATTAACGTGACTTAGCGTGCGTGACAGGTGCAAAACCGTTTCCAAGTGAGCATTTTTTGGATACTTTCAAGCATAAAATTTTATGTCTCTTTTCGGTACTGTTTCCAAAAATTCCAAAAAATGAAAATCCTTAATAAAAGAGTACATATGTTGGTAAAATTTATATTTTGTTTCTTTTATGGAACAGTGGATTTTCGGGTTCGGATTTTTATTGCAATTTCAAATATATTTTCGTATTAGAAGTTTAAGAATGTTAAAGTTCTCGCTGCTGAGCTTAGGCAAAGCCTCGTTGAAGTTTTGTTATTTTACAATATTTAGTTACATATACAATAAGCCTAGAAAGGAGTTCTTATATATAAATAAGATAGTGTAATTCAAAAATATAATTCATATTTTTTATAACGAATAAAAGTTTTACTAGATTTCAAAAAATATTGAATTGAAACAGATTTTTGATTTTAAATTCAGTTTAATGACAGATTATTAATCTGATATACTCAAACCTAATATAATCTTACACTACCATTTTATTGAGTAATTTTTTGCAAATAGTCAAGCAGGGACTTTCTAGATTCTAATAAATATTGAATTGAAACAGGTTTTTGATTTTAAATTCAGTTTAATGGCAGATTATTAATCTGATATACTCAAACCTAATATAATCTTACACTACCCTTTTATTGAGTAATTTTTTGCAAATAGTCAAGCAAGGACTTGCTCCCAATATACTCTGCATAATGCATAATACGTATTTGTCATACTAATACCAGCGGTCATACTAGTTCAAAAACGAAGGTAATCATAATATTACCAAGATTGGAGACACAAGCAGAGTCATGAATGCTTTGAATGGTTTCTGGTTTCAATGAGACTGTACTGTGCTCTTTCATAATCACAAAAATCCCGCTAATGGCGCTAAGAACACACTCATTATCAACACTTTATTTTTCCAGTTGTAAATTAATATGCCTTAGACGGTTTCTGGTTTCATTGAGACTGTGCTGTGCTCATTCCAAAACAAAAAATCCCGGCAGGAACAGATTCATTACTAACGTGTTTTTTCTATTATTAGATGAATATGCTGTTGGTTACAACGATAATGTGCTATATATAATTTTTTTAAAGTTGCTTGTTAGAAAAATTAACGATCTATTAAAGAAAGTCTTCGTTGACTATGTTGTAAGAAATATAGCTAAAGAGTGGCCTTTTAGATGCTGTGATTAATTATCCATAGAATATTTCTAATCTGCGACAATGAGCTTAGCGGTGAATAAAAATGAAACGAAGTATATGTTGGCTACTGGTAGAAATATACGTTGCTCGGACATCGAGCTGGGGATTGTACTTTCAAATCTGTCCAATGCTTTCGTCTACGTTAGCTGTAACAAACAACAAGGATGTGAGAACACACGATTATTGCCAATAAGCATTACTATGGGCTCATTAGGCAAATGGTATGTAGAGCGCTCTTTTGATGAACAAAATTTATACTCTATAGGTCGCTTATCTTACTTGTGATTTTATATCAAAAGTATAGACGCTATCACAGAAGGATAAAGCAGCACTGGACATTTTCGAAAGAAAAGTTTTTCGTTAGTATTTTGCTACTTTATTAATTGGCGACGACTACTGTATCAGAATGAACAATGAGCTGTACAAACTTTATCACAATATTGACTTTATACAGCGATGGTAAGGAGGTTTCGCTAATTTGATCATGTCGTAAGCACGATTGACGATGCTTAAGCGAAAAAGGTATTTAAACGGCAATTGGAGAAAGATGGCTCAAAGGTAGAGAGTGTCTCCAGTGTAGGGATCAAGTTGAGGATGCACTAACCACGCTTGATTTTAAAGATTGAAGGAGGCGTGCACGTTGCATAGTTGCTAGAAGAGGAGTGTGCCACTTAAGACCATTTGAGTAAATAAGTAAAAATATTTCTTGTAGGTGTTTTTAAACTCGTTGACCTGTGTGGTAAATAACCTTAAGCACTTATAAAATCATACAATAAGTATGCTATTGATGAGATACAGACACAAAGATATATTCGTAAAAGTTATCCATAATTGCAGCTTTCGATAATTGTTTTTAAAATGTTTCCGAAATAGACAACTCACTTGTTTTGTCCTAGTTTTCAAAATATTTCCGTTATACCTGACTTTTCTGTTTTCTTCCTAGAGTTAGTGCTTTTATAACTGACAACTCTACTTTCTTCTGTAGATGATTCCACTTATAAATCTTAATATTTTTGTTTGTGTTTTTAATGTTAAATAGTATATGAAGTTCTTTATTTGCTATGTTTATAACAAAATCTTCTAAAGTTCTGTTGATTCACCAGAGACAATAAAGATGCTTCTGACAGGTTGCTCCTTGATTTTAGAGTACTTCGTATTGGATCCGGTTGTTTTGTTTTGAAAATAGTCTGAGAGCTTTCTCCTTTAAACGGAGTTTACAATAAGAGTTGTCTAATATCTTTATCATATTTTTATATAGATTTTTTATTACTACTTGTATGGACTTTGTATAAATTTTGTATTAATTTTATATAGATTTTGTATAAAAAATGGCCCATATGTCAGCATATATGTGAACTTGAGTACGATAGTTTAAACATAACAATGTATATATACTGTTTAATGCTTTTGATTTTTAACTTTTTCTGTCAACCGATCAAAATGTTACCAATATCTTTAATGGCACCTATATCTTTTGAAAGAACACCACATACAAATGAGATATTAGCTAATGAGATACTAAATTGCAGTGCAGCTATGATTTGATATTCTTTATAATTTCCATAGCAATTTCTATATTCGCTGGACAAATAATTTAAACTGCCATGTAGTTATGCTTATAAATTTGATGGAGCACCTTTTATTGACTTGAAAATATTTTCTCTCTCTCTCTCTATACATATTGTTATTGACAGTGACCCAATTATCAAATGTTCAACTAATTAATTTCAACATTAAATTTATATTTTAATACAGAAAATATCAGTGTTGAAAAAATGCAAAAAAAATTTAATGTCAACTATTCTAATTGGAAAAGTTTTATTCCTCTCGGTGGGTGAACTGAAATACATCGTCTTGTATTAATTTCAGTTGCTAACTAATACCGCATTGCACGTATGAATGCATCTTTTGCATAACTTTAGGTTTCACTAAGCTACCTTTGATATATTCTCTCATATCCTTTGCTTGCTTTGCATTTACCTTTGTATTTTTCTTTTTTTTTTTCTTTTTTCTAATTTTTTTAAAAATTCTAATCCTGTTACACGCTTGGCAAACCCATCATAAAACTATTTTTTCCGCGTTCACGTTATTGTCAACAACTACAACGTTACACATGAATAATACATTCAGTTTGCAACACTTGCAAAAATCATTTCCGTTTCCGTGCATGGCTGTGTGTTCTTTTTTTCTATTTCCAACACTCAACTCTGAGTGTATGTCTGTGTGTGTGTGTGTGTGTAATTGCTTGTGTATTGTGCATTTACGACTTTTGGCTTGAGTATTTGTGAGTGTTGTGAGTGTTTCTGTAGCACTCCATTTTTGTTTTTCTAGTTTAATTTTGATTTGTTTTACTTTTTCCTGGGTTTCTTCGCTGCTTTTTTACTTTATTTTTCTGCAATTTTAGTTTGAATTTTGACGATGCATGCACTAAACGCATTTGCAGTCATTCATATGCACACGCCAGCAACACCAGCAACTCCAGCAACAACAACAATTAGTCGTACATGTGCAAATGTCACGTTCGACTTGCGTTAAACGTGTTGTTTGTTGAATTGTTGACATGAGACGCTTTTTTTTGTCACTTAATTCCTTTAATATGTTTACTGCTGCATATATATTTGCTAACGTTTGTTTTTAGTTTTCATTTAGGGACTAAAAGGACCCTAAAAAAGCAGACATAAAACTGTTATTCAACTTTTTTCCCTTCAACATATATAATTAGGCGCTTTTTTTCCTTCAAAAAAGGAGTGTAATAACAAAGGCTAATCAAGCAGATCTTATCTGAGAATTACCTGTTGGTGGGGCCACTAAATATTGTTCAAACTACTAGATTGATTGATTTTCTGAAGACAATATTAGCAACGTTTTTGTTAATCCTTGACAAGTGGTATAATTTCGCAATTTCAAGAGGCAGTATTGACATAAGTGTACTCTTATCATTCGTGCTATTGACTGATAATGAACTCGATACACTCTTCGCCATATCGAATAATCATTTTGTACATAATCTTCATCATCATCATGTCCTATGCTGTACATATGGTAACAAAAAGGAACGAATGGACGGTTAATATTATGTTTCATATTCACATTGCAATGTGTCACAAAGGTGGCTTTGAAATGATGTTCATAATTAATCGAATTGACAACGAAAAGATATGTGCAGAATAGGATGCACCAATACAATACACCTAGAAATTGGTGAATAGAAATTCGAAATAAACCTACAAGCTTTACGATTATTTCAACGTTGTTGATATACGGATTCACGTTAATCGTGTCAGTTGGGATATATAACACATTTACTCAGGAAACCTAAATTTTCATCTTTGAAAAGGTGATATGAAGTCTATAGATTTTTTTTTGGGTATAGAGTGGAATGGGTACTTTAATTGTAAAGCAGCTTGGCTTTGTATTATAAATAGTTTTTGAGGAAATTTATTTCTCGAATCAAATCTGATGCCTTACACACCTTTGTAAGAGTAAAAACAACAAGATATAGTATCAATCTTAGGGTATTAGATGTAAGAGAGAGATAGTACATTATGTATAAAGCAGTAGGGCTATGTATTACACGTTGTCTCTGCGAAAATCTATTTATTGTTTAAAATCTAAAACTTCACATGTTGATCGTTATACTAATAGTGACATGGACTCAACTTAATCGAGGATGGCTGTTTATGTAGGAGGATGGCTACTTTTTAGTGTAATTGAACCGAACTACAAACGAAATCATTGTGAATTTTAAGCGAACGAGTTTTCTCTTGAAACCTTATTATTTATTTTTGGCTTCTTGAACCATATCTCGCACATCATAACAATTCACGGCCTGCACTTAATGAAGGGTAGCTACTTAGGTTGCCTCTGATTTTTTAACGTTATTGAACTGAACTACAAACCGAATCTATGTAAGTTTAAAGCGTATTGTTGATGCGAATATACATAGTTGTAGAAGAATCCTGTCTCTCATTTGATACCAAATTCTTTTGGACGGGTTGCCCCGTCACATCACAGAAACTGTGCCAACTTACAGTTGTAAAGGCGGTTTGTAAAGGACAGCTGCTTGGGTTAGCACACGACTTTTAAGTCTAATTGAATGAGACTGAATCATTAAGGTTTTTAACCGAACAACTAATAAAAAGGCTATATAAGCTGCATGCAGAGTATTGTATCACTGAACCGAACTACTTCCGACATTTATACGATACATAGTCCTGATTTTGTTTGTTATAGTAATTATTTAATTAACATTATAAGCATGTTTATAATTATACAATATAGAGCCTATTAATTAATAATTTTAATATATTTTTTATTCAGACTGTATTTAATAATGAATGTAAACAATTTGTTTAAATTTTTAATACTTGTATGGTTCTTTTTCAAGTGTACGTTTTTATTGCTTTCGTATAGCAATTCAATAAATCATTTGCACATATGCCAGCTGCCTGCAGTTGTGCACATTGGCACATGCAGCCACCTTAAATACTTGCAAAAATTGCACTTACCTTCAAAAGCAGCGTTGATGTCGCGTATGTCGTAGCTGCACACCGCCGAACCGACTATGCCATGTGTGTTTGTCGTGAAGGTGGCGTAGAATTTAGTGTTGTCATGTGGCATTTTGTACACCGATTGAATTTCATTGAAATAAAATGGAAATTCACTCGAAATACTGCAATTGATGCGAGCTTTCAAGTACGTTGCCCAATTCTGGCTGATCATGTATTTGCCACCTCGATCATTCTTACAAACACGTGCAATGCGTGAATAGATTGCCTTGCCACAGTTAATGTACTCTACAGCATGTTCGCGGAAGAAGAAATACACATATTCGCCAATATCAAAGGAACCAACGAAATTCGGCTCTATTAGAAAGCAAAAAATAAATAAAGAAATAAATTTATATAAAATTTATTAAATTGAATTTTGTGAATTATTTCAATTCTATTTTTAAATAAATTTTATTAATAATTTAGTTCTTTTCACAATACTTACTATCAAGCCATTTTGAATCATATTTAACGGTGCGCTTGAAATTGTGTTCCTTCCGACCGGAAGTTAAATTATATAAATCCGAACGGAAAATAACAGAATCGGCCTTTGTAAATTCTGCATTCGTACCAGAATACTAAAAATGTGTAAAAGAGAAAATAAAAATAATAAAATTTAGTAGAAAGCAAAAAAAAAAAATGGTAAAAATTAGTGCTCCATTTTATTTCACAAAATTTGTAATTCGATTTTCTAGCGAGAATTGTGCCAATTTATTTTTTGTCAAATGGTATGGCAAAATTTAATTTAAACAATTTAAATTGTTAGCGACAATAGTACAGATGTATCCTTCCTAAAATACTAGCACAAGAGGAGCAAATATTAAAGTCTGCTTTTCAAATACTTGTACTTTAAAACGTTCTACTCTATTTTAAACATTTTCTTTTCAATGCGAACATTTAAGGATACATAAGTTTTTATATTGTCTATAAATTTGGCAATTTGGTTTCATGAAACGTTTCTGTACTTACCAATGCAGGCAGACCAAAAGGATTTCCCTTTTCCACATAGACAGCAGTTGAGTTATCAGCCGGATCATAAGGGCATTTACCAATTCCTAAGCCAATGCCAGGCACATATTCAGTGCGAAGCAAATGTGTTAGGTTGGCCTAGAAGTATGCAATGAAAATGCTTTCAGTTTGTGTGAGAGAAATATTTGAATATTTTTCATTCTACAAAATTGACTCATTTTAGATTTTTGTTCTAGTTTTTAAAATTTAATATAAGTATAATATTTGTTTTTATTTAAAATATAGCTATAAGAAGTTGACTCCTAATGCATTAACTTAATATCATCTAATCATCTATTAACAAAAATATTTTCAGTGCTACAAGTCGTTATATAAGTACCGAGGTACATTATCTATTGTAATATATAGAGAATTTATATATAAGGTTTATATTTAAGCAATCTGTTCAACTTATAATCAAACAACTATATTCGTTGAAAGGATATTATAGTGCAGATGGATTTCAAACAATATATATTACACTCTCAACCACTTCTCTTCATCACTCTCAATCCATCGTTTTTGAACATTTTTATATAAATAAATAAATTATAATTTACAAAAATGAAAGACTTAATAACTATATATACTTTTAGAAACAAAACTATAATCTTTATTCTTTTAATTTATATTATGACTAGCGTTTGAGATGCTTCCTTCCTTCCTCCCTTCCTTCTTTCTCAACTACTTCTTTGTATAGCTCTAAATCATTTGCTTTTTTTCCGCATTTGTTTTCTTTATATAGAAGTTATATATAGTAGTGTATAGAAGTCAATAAATAGTGCATCAAGCTATATTTTTTTGAGCACTTTCTTCTTCTTTCCACAATTGATAGTGTGGCATAAACTTGGTTCAATGCTCTCTCTTGCCAAGCAATCTTATTAACTGATTCAATCGTCTTATGTACTGGAATTTAATGTGTCATATGATGTATCTTATATGGTATGTCTCTACTATTTTTTAGCTGTGTAGTATTACCACTATTTAGTATCCAGACTTCTTATCCATGTCTTGCTATTAGAAGACATGTATGCTATTAGAACGACATAGTTTGGAGAAACGCAGATTTGGATCTTTTTACTGAAAATATTTTTGCGTCATTAAGCTTCATATATAGGTTATATACAGTAAGGTTATATATAGTATTATAACATAATACTGTATATAGTATATATATTCTATATATATTATATAAAAAACAGCCTATCAACATAAAGTTAGAATGTGAAAATTATTTAATTATTAAAAATGAGAATAATGAAGAAGATAATGAAGGGTATCTACTTCCTCGACATCTAAATTAAATTTATGTTGTGACGTTTTGCCAGTTTTCTTTGTAATCCAACTTAACTGGTGGTTTTTTTTATTATAAACATATAAATATATAACTAAATTAAATTTACTTTAATTCTTTTGCTGGACATATAAACTTATCGTCATATTATCTCAAATATTTTTTTAGGTGCATTAAAAGACTTAACAAAAATATAAATATTTCATCTTAAAATCATTTCAAATTTTAAAAATTTAAAGCATATTGTATATTTTAATTTTAAATAATCTATTTAATTTAATTTTTTTTATATTTTGCTGTTTCCTAAATTTCTTATCAATGTCAGCTTTAAGAGTTAACTGCCACAGCTAAAGTAACTTTTTATCTCAACACATTTAATACAATTTAAGTAAAACAATTTACTCTATTTAGTTTATTTACTTATTCATTTATATTTACTTTAGTTATTTTTTTCTAATATTCTTTTAAAAATTTTTTTTATATATATATATATACTCACATTAATCACGTAGTCCTTGGGATTGTGTGCATTTGTTCCACAAACATATAAACGTGCTCCAGAGTCCATCGGTTGAATTACACGTATATGGTTACGGCATTCCACCTTCTTAAAGTAAATATGAGTGCACATAGGAAAGAAGAGAAAAATTGTCAAAACAAAAAAAGAAAAAATGGAAGAAAAAGAACAAATGTCATGGAATTGGGAGAAAAAGAAAAACGAATCACACATAAGTATTGAAATTTATATGCCAAACTGTACATAGAATGAACGGAAAAGATAATTTAACTAAAAATAAAAACTTTACTGATAAACGAAATTTAAATTGTAATTTTTCTTTTATTTTTTCTTTTGAATTTTTAAGTACACACAACACACAAAAAAATCACTACGCACACATACATTTATCCACAAATAACAAATAACAACCCTGCCTTAGTATTACACATACGAACCTCACGTTTTCCTTTGGAGACGCAACTCAATATGTCTGATCCGGGCGGTTCTAGTATAAGCACATCGCGCTGTAAATTAGACAAAAGTAAAGAAATTTAAAAATTGAAATAAAATATATATGCTAGTTTAATTTTATCGAAAGTGTCTGCGAAAGTAGAGTATTGGCACGTATGCGGATAAAAGCGCTACTGTGCAGCACTAAAGGAAGAAGTCAAAGACTTCTTTTTAATTTTGGTTTGTTTTTGCTTTTTCATTGAATTTTTCATAGTTTATAGCTATTTGCGTTAAAAAGTTCTATTTTCAGTTAAAATTTATAGCTTTCGTCTTAACTAAAATTTTACACAAAAGTAAGAGTATTTAGTGTTTAACCGTCTAACATTCGAAATATGTAGTTTGAAAAAAAAAACCAAAAGATAAAGGCGAAAAAAATAAAGAAACGATAATAAAGAGCACAAAATAAAAATAAATAAAAATGAAAAAATTCTTCGCATGTCACTCGCAAAGAAAATTCTTAAAATAATTGCTTTACGAGCTGCATTTGTAGTTGCTGTATCCTGTCGTATATGCTTAGTGCTTGCAGTCGAAAATTATTTGAACGAGCAGTGCACTGAACGAGCAGTGCACCAGCGTTGCACATTGAAGTGCAGGAATGTGCACATGGATTAGATCAAGTTAAGATTTATGTATAGTGCACCCAGCGAAAATGAAGTTTAAAACAATTAAGGCGTCTACGAAATTCGCAGTTCCCACGACTTGTCAAGTATGTTTTATTCAAAACTTTATCCATACGGATAGACATAGAGCTATAGTGTTTGAAAACTTTAAAAACTTTTTTAAAGAATTATAAAAATTTTTTCATTTAAAGAGAGAATAAATAGTATTTTTAGAAACATTTTAGAACGAAACAAGTGCTTTTTTTATCGCATTTGGTTCGGTTTAATCACTTAATTTATATGCATGCAGATTAAAAATGAAAATAAATTCAGCTAAAAATTTATTTAAATAACTACACAAGCTTCTGTGTATTTAATTTATGTTCCAGTCGAAATTTTTAGTAATTTTTTTATGGCTCTTCTGCAAATATTTTTCTATGTTTCACAAATATTTCTCTTTATTTAAATCGTGATAAAATTTCCATTGTCTAAAAATGGCAACAATTGAAAAAATCTGACAGCACAATTTATAAAAGCGTCAAAGCTTGCCAGTTTGTTATAAATTTTTCAAAATAAATTTTTATTTAGTACGAGTATGACTCCATAGTATTCACATCTATTTCTAGATATATATTTACTGGCATATATACTCGTATTTGTATATTTGCGTTCTATTACATTGGCACATTTAAAATGTCGTTTGGTATTTTGCTCACGTTACGCTTTTGTTTATTTAATTCGATTTTCCATGCTCGACAGGCAAAGTCAATTGTTCAGTTCCATCTTTTAGATACCACCTTCGTGGGGTTTGTATTCAGAGTTTGTATTTAGTGGAAACGTAGAGCCGAAACTCAAATTAGGGGAGTTCTTAGATGAATTAAATATCTTAAAAAAAAGTTTAAAAGATTCTCATATATTTCTAGATACCAGTATGAGTCATAGTTTTCTTTTAATATAGACAAAATTTTGCAATGATGACAACGACGTCCAATTAAGTATATTTGTTAAGTATTTTCAAATAAAATAGTAAACTCTATAAAACGAAGTATATTTTGGTACTGGTACTAATAAGCGTCGTTCGGACGCCATTCGGGTGGCTGGCGACTACACTACACATGAACGGGCCAATTATTTTTATTACAATCAAATTGAGAGCGATATAGCATAAATTATAAATATAAAACCCTGTATAAAATTCAAAGAAGTAAATCGGAAGTATTTAAGATAATATCGATTCCTACAGAACACTGGACTAAAGGACGGCAGGGAATCAGGCTGAGCGTGTCCAGCTAAAACTCGGTTAGATATAGATTAACGACATTCATAGAGAACACAACAGAAAATCTATTGTAACTAGTTGTGGGGTCAAACTTTTCAGCTCTTCATTCTTTCATTCCCTCGGCGATATTTTCAACAGAATTAAACAAATCTATCCATTTATCAATGCGTATGGTTGGTTTTAATATGTCCAATTTTCTGTCTTCAATTATGAAGAATGTTAAACCGAAACGGTTTTCTTAGGTAATTGCGGAGAATTTGTTTTTTCTTTCACTTTACAGCATTATTTTCAATAACTTAAAATATTTAGCAGTTTTTTTTTCGAAAAATAGTGAACTATAACAACAAAATTTCTTTTTACTATATTAATTTTTAATTAATTGAATTTTTGGCTGACTATACAGCTGTTTCGAATATTGCCATATACCCATCATCAGTGGTCTTGGAAATAATTTTTGTATTTAATTATTCGTAAATAATTTTTTGAAATTGCAAGTAACAAGGGTTGAACTCGTGCCCTGCTAAATTTAAAGCTCAGAGTCAGCACTTCTTAACCAACTGGCCCCAAATATTTAAGAAAACTTTGGTTTCCTTATTTAATATAAGCAAATACGGTATGCAGGACGGCTTTGAGTATTATTTTCAAGATTTCATTTCGAGATTACTTCAGTTCAGTTAGACATTCTCAAAGTTCCTAATCGATTAACCATTCCAAAGCTTTACTTAAAGCTTGATTAAAGTTAGTTACAGTTACTTGACCTTATGTATCATAGTTTTACAGCTACTCCATAATAGTAAGCCTTCGGTTCAACACCTAAAATTTATTTTACTTTATTGTCTCAATGTAAATTTCAAAGTTTTGAACTAGTAGGCTATTCTTCCTTCCATCCTTATTATGATGACTTTAAAGCTTCTATATAAAAGCGACTATACACTGAACTATGAACAGTTTTATATCAAAAAAGAAAAAATAATAGTTATTTTAATTTTCTTTTATTTCATCATGAAAATTCTGATTTTCGTTGCAAAATGTGAAGAGTCTCAGAGTCCTTTCATAAGTTCTTATTGACACTTCTGAAAAACTCTCGACTACTCGTATTCGCTTAAAAGCTTAAAGGTTGAATACAAAAAGTACAATCGATTGAAAGTTGAAGTTTACTTAAAATAAAATAAAGACCAAGGATAACAAGAATAAGGTGTAAGCTCTAGAAGTACGTAGCTAAAAGGGAAACGGATATTGATAGTTGAAAATGCAGTCAGTAGAAGTGCATTTCTTGAATGCGCAATTGCGTTTGAATATGAAAATAAGTGGACAAAAAAGCTTTAGTGTTTGCATAAAATCTAAAATAATTTTGCTTTATTGGCATTCGTTTTAGAACTAAAACTAGTGTATTTACATAAGAAATTGACCATTTGCTCGAAATATTTATAGAAAATGAATCTAAATTTTGATTTTTTATTAAAATGAAATATATATAAAGAATTTATCCCTCCATATGACCTCAAATTGAACTAAGTCTGCGAAGATGCTTGACTTAAACTAATTTCATGGCTCAATCCTTTATGTATTTTTTGATCAGATCAATCTTGGCGTCCCTAAAGGTGTCATTCGTCCTCATTTAATTTGAAATAAACAAATTGTATTTCTTACACAAACTGTTCCAGAAACCACATATGTCCCAGTTTTTAAATATATAATTACATATGATAATTTATGTGATCAGTTGATCAGTGTCCCTATAAGCGTCATCTTCTATTTCTAGAATAAAGTGGAACTATTAAAATTTATCACAAAACTTGTCAATTCTATCCAAAAAACATAACTCATTTTAATTTTCTTTAGAAATGAAAATAGTATAAGTTTTAAATTAAAAACAAATTCTTAATAAATAATAAAATTTCATATATTTTGAAAAATATTTTCTTAGAAAAAAATATTAAAAATATTTTACTTTTCCAATATTAATGACAATATTTTATCAAACACATCCTTTTTACTTATATTCAAATATAGAATTTTAGTTTTAATTATTATTCGAAAATTTTTAATATATTTTATAAGAATTATTTATATTTCCTTAAGGTTTTGTTTCTGCAGATTTTAAATTAAAAATGAAAATATTTTTTATTTAAAAATATATGACTATATGAATTTTTTATGAGTTTTTATTTATGAAAGTAAAAGTTGAAGCAGAACTGAGATACACAAACAATTTCTTGCTTTCTTTTTAAGGATTTTACTCTAAAGGAAATTGTACACTCCCTTCAAGCCAATGCACATGTGTTTGCATTAAGATTTAATAATTTATATAAAGTATAACTATGGATTACCTACATACAGGGTCACACAAGACAATTTTAATTTATATAAAGTATAACTATGGATTACCTACTTACAAGGTTACATAAGGCACTTTTGATTTATATGAAGATTAATCATGTATCATCTGAATACAGGGTTATAAAAGAGAGTTACAGTTTATATAAAGTAATACTATAGATTTTATATATACAAGGTTATAAAAAACTTTGATTTATATAAGTATAACTTTTAAGTACTAATTATTACTACTATAATAGATCACTTGAATACTGGTTTATACATGCCAAAATGAATTAATATGAAGTATAACTATGGATTACATACATACAGGGTTATACAAGATCACTAAGATTTATATAATGTAGAACTTTGGCTCATCTGAACAGAGTGTTATACAGAGTTTATGTTTTGACTTACATTAAGTATATCTATCGAATACTTGAGTAAAGGGCTATAGGTACAAGAGAATTACAAGTTATACAATGTTAACTCACAGACCATCTGAATACAATTTTTGATATGTGATATATATAAAGTATAGCTGAAGATTACTTGAACATAAGAGAGTTTTGATTTATATAAAGTATAACCTATGAATCATCCGAAGACAGATATATTCAAGAAAGTTTTGATATATAAAAGTATAACTATAGATCACTTGAAAATAGCATTATATAAAAGTTTTAATTTATTAAAAGTGTGACTATGGATAATCTGAATACGGAAATATTTAAGACAGTTTTAAAAGTAAAACTATGGATTCTCTGAGTATAACATTGTATGATGTCAGAACTAGGAAGTTACTGATGTTGAACAAAAAAGGCGTCAAAATTGTCGCAAGGTTTGTAATTGAACTTTGCGGAGTTAAAAAACATCTACCGAATCTTGGTATTACAAGGGACGATAGCTGCAGATTTTATCACGAAGAAGAGGAAACAAAAGAACACATTATGTGTCACTGTCATAGTCTTGCCAGACTCACACTTCAGTACTTTTAACTGCCTATGTACTTATAATAGAAATAGGCAATATCTCTCCAAGGAACATAATGGCATTTTTAATTGCTACGTGCTTATGGAACTAAAGTGAGTTTGTCACCACAGTCCTCAAAGGATGCAGTGACATGGTGGCATAGTTGCCATACCCTTTCAAAATCTATAGGGTTTTGTAATAGAGTTTTTTTTATATGCATACTACAGCATTATACCAGAAAATGTTAATTAATAAAAAGTATGGCTATAGATAATCTATATAGAGGGTTATGATTAACGTAACATATAGGCAGTAATTCTCAGGTTTGGCAAGTCTGCGTCAAGCAAAATAACAGAGTAGAAAAGAAACGCAGTCAGTATTTGTCGGAAGTTGGTGTCGAAAGTCAGTCGTGTTTTCGTGCTCAAGTGGCGGAAGCTATATAGTCATAATCGTTTAACACCAAATGAACAATAATTAAAACTAAATTATAAACATATTATTTCTTACATATATATAAGTTGTATGTCTATGACAAGCACAATAAATATTATTTCCTACATAGATTTAAAATTTGACAGATTTTCTACAATTTCTAATTTTCAATTATAATTTACATTATCAATTAAAAAAATAAGGATATTCGTACTGTGAATAAATGTCTTATTTACCCACTTTTGAGCTATCTCTATTGTTGTCCCAAAAAAAAACATAGAGTAGTCATTCAAAGAATGATTCTCATGAACTTTAAAATCTAACAAAAGAGACAACAACTGAAGTTAATATTTTTTTTAATTTGTATTAAAAATCTACCTAAGTCGTTAATAGTTAACACAATAAAAAAAGTTCATCAGAAGACAATAATTATAATATTCTCCCAGATTCATAATGTCCCGTTTTAAGACAACAAAAATCTTAAATCACTTATATAGTGACTAGCTTGTTATTTGTTATATTATTATAATAAATAATTATAAATTATTAATTAAAATCAAAATTTCATCTAAAATAAATATAAAAAACATATTCTCAATTCAAAAGATTAGTATTCCCAACAAAAAAAAAGAGAATTTATTTATGTTGCTATGAATATTAGAGATTTGTCGGCCTACCCGTTATAAGGTCATACCTTCACACAAGTACGAAATATGTGCACTTCAAGTAAAAGCGACAGGATATTACTTTTACGTCTAGCACACAATGACACTTCAGAAGGAAATGCATACGGAGACGGATAAAGGTAACAGTGTCAACTCGCTCGAGTGTATGAGCACATGCAAGTGAAGGAATATATCAGTTTTGTGTTGGTTCAGAAATGCAAATTCTGAATCTGCAGTATTTGCTGGAGAGCATATTTCTATTTATAAATCGAAGTATATTTACGTTAACGTTTACGTATGCAATATTCATAGAAGTCTATTTTGTATTTCACTTTCACAAAGATATTTTGTTGATTTCCTTCTGAATTTGTTTTGTATTTTGTGTTTTGTATTTTGTATTTTGTGTTTGGCATTAGAAATTCTGCTTGGCTCTAGAAATCAGAGTTTTGATATTCTGGAATTTTGCTTGCATTTATTTATCCGCATTACAAGTGCCATTCTATTTGCATACGAAATGTAGTACAGCATTTTTCATTAATATTTATTGGCAGAATCTGCAGTTTACTCGCCTGCTTTCACTTGCATTTCTTTTTCTGATACTTACCTCACAAATAGAGTGACTAATGTTTTGTAAATTCAAACGAAATATACGATCCCTGCAAAGATAGAAAGATAAGTTTAATTATTTTTTTTAGTGAATTTTTTTATTTATTTTTTGGTTTTAAAACGTTTGTGCATATATGTAAATTTCATGTAATAATAATAAAATTTACATACATGCATTATGTATTTAATGAAATTAAATTAAATTAAATAAAACACAACACGCAGAGTGAAGGAAATAAAATAATGTGGCACATTGCAGGTGACAGCCAATTTAATCCTCGAAATCGTAACGTGACTCACGATAACTTAAGTCCTCAGTTTACAATCAATGCTCGTGGCATAACAACCTCACTTACTCCTGTTGTGAGAAGTGAAGAAAAAACAACCTCGCTGTTCAAGTGTTGAACATATGGAGCACGTCGTTGAATGTGTAAAAGAGACAACAATTGAAGTAATGACATTTCAGATAAGATGTTAATATATTTTATGGCGGCGAGACGTACAAAATGAAGACAATATTTTGTTACATTCACATTCGATTTTACGTTTTACTCTCGGGTTTCCTAAGTCATTTTTCATTGCGCCAATTCTTGCTACACAAAGGAAGAAATAAATTTAAAAGCTAATGTAGGTTGCAGAGCTTGAATCTCTTCAGCTATTCAGCGCTCTGCATGACATTTGCAATAATCCAGCTGCCAGTGTTATTGATTGATAGATGATACAACATTTGTTGTCACTACGATGTTGCACTTTTGGTAGAGCAGAAGAAAATGGAACAGAAATTAACTACATACGTACTTATCAATGTCACTCATTTCGGGTTGTGTAATTTAAATTGAAACATGGAAAACATTTTCATGTGAAGAAAATGTGCAAGTACTGTGTAGGTATGTACAAAATTTGAATAAGATTAAGGAAATTATATATTTTAAATTGAAATGGAAACCTTTTCTCAAATTGGTTACTTTTTTATAAAATCGAATAAGTCAAATATTAGAACATTTAATATGGAATGTCTTTGACAGATATTTCCCTTGAGATTAAAAAAAAGGAGATTGTCTTAGTTTGGGGATGGGGATGATTAAAGATTAATTGAGCTGTTACTACATAGTTCATTCAAATAAAGAGAAACGATCTGTGTTTTCATTTAAGAAAAGTAAGAAAAATCTGAAAAAAAATAATATACTTTATCAGTCAGAAAATGAGAGCAGAAAAAAATTTACAGATCATTGTCTCATGGCTCGCACCCAATTTCTTTCTTGAGACGCACAGATCTATCAAATATTTGAGTATGTCGTTACTGTAAGTAAGAATAATGGTGTTTTTGTTTGGTAAAACTGGGATAATTTTTTCAATCGAGATGGTCTTTTAATGCACTTTAACTGCAATTTTTATTTTTGATTGGTTTTTCTGTCTTAAAATGTATAACACTCGAGATCAATTTATAACAATCTGAGTATGTTACCAAACTAGCAAGACTATTCTGATATTAACAGCTGTTTTGTATGATTTGACAGATAAACTGTATTTTAATTCGATATAAGTATTTATGAAAAATATATTTGTCTACTAACATGACTGAAAATATGTTAGATTACTCTGAAAATCTTGGAATGGATAACACAGTTTAACAGTTTGAAGTGAAATCTAGATTGAATCCAGATTTATTAATCAAAAATGCTAAAAACGTTACACCAACGGTTGTTGTAGTCCAAGGTTTATGCAATATCAAAACGTCTCAAGTAAGGGTTTATATTTACTTCATCTTTCCTGGGCATTTAAGCTTTTGTCACAAACAGTTTTCACATTTCTATGAAATTAGTTAAAACTTATCACTTCCTTCATCTGGGATATTATTTTAATTTTAATTTAATGTATTTAGTTTCTTACAAATCTATAATTTCCGTTACATACTAAAAAAAGTCTCAAGATTACTTCACAACATTGCACTTTAAAAATCATTAAATTCTTCATATTTCCCATTCATGCAATAGAACAATAATTTGTGTATATTGTGGTTAAATTGTTCTCCAACTGCTACCATTAATCTTCATTTCGCTAATGCTTCCTAAGTAGTGCGACGGTGTAAAACAAATGGGAACCGACGAAAAATTTTGCTCCGGCAACAACCATGGTAGGAAACTGTGTAAACGCAGCAGCGGCAGCAACTAGGAGCGAGAGTCACACAATACATAAAGAACCAAAAGGAGCAGATAAAATTAAAGAGTTCAAAATTAGTAGAGCGAAAGCAGCAAAACAGTGAAACGTAGACGTTAAACGCAGACAAACAGTCCTATAAACAGATACACTGCCAGACAAACAGACAGCGGGATAGACGTAAAAGCAGACATTAATTCATAATTATGTATGCTGACAGTGTTGCCAACTGAAAGTTTCAAGTGGTTTTTATGATGAAAAATGAAATATGCGAAAGTAAATGTGCACAAAATATAGAGTACAGATTTCAGAGCTTGGATGTAGTTAGAGCATGAAAGTTTCCTATTTAGAAAATGATCGGAGTAATTAATTGCAGCACAACAAAGGGCTTCAAGCAGCTAAATTGTTGTCAGTGGCTGCCATTTTGAGCAAGTAACAAGGCTAAATAACAACATGTTGGCCTAATGTACTCTCCAACCAGTCACTAACAAAAACAATAAAGCCATAAGAAATTTGCAGCTGCAGATTTGTTAGCTAAGCACCAGCTGAAGCTGTGTATGGAAAGGAAAACTCTTAAATGATGAAACAAAGTTGGAAGTACTTAACTATGTCAACGCTGTCAAAATTAAATGATGTACGCTTTCAGCCACAAACACAAGCATAAAAACTATTTTTTGGATATAGTTGTGGTATCATCTTTGTAACAAAGAAACAAAGATATATATAAATATATGTGAAATACTACTTACATGGCGCCAACATAAAGTGCATTGTTGTTTTCATCAAAGTGAAATGTTTTGTAGTGCAGAGGACCACAGCTAAAGTCCTTAACATGTTCCGCAACTAAAATGAAAAATGGGAATACAAATTTAATGTAAAGTTTATATAAGAAATAATATAATTTTATATAGTAGTTGCATATCTTATATTAACATTTTATTATAAAAATAATTATAAAAGTTTTATTATACTTTTTTTTTTATATCTGATAATAATCAAAAAAGGATATATTTTTGATATTGAAACTTATTGAAATTTTTTTAAATGAATTACATTTTTTGAATTAATAAATACTTTGTTCTAACTTTTAACAGAAGACACACTTGGCTAGATAATATAAGAGTCAGAAAAGTGTCTTCTAATAAATGATCGAAATGATCTAAAGCTATAAGGTAGAGGAAAATTGGTTGTGAAAAATAAAACAGTGCTTCATAAGCAAGTAATTGCAATGCTGTTTCATCTACCATAAGAGAACTTCAATCTTATCAGAATGTTATATTGAGAATAATGCTAAAATACTATCATAGTATATTAGAAAAGGAATTGAGAGTCGAAAACGCGCAGAAGTACATCAAAGATAAATCGCTGAAGTTGTTTGATTCTGTGGATGATCAAACTAATTCCGAATTGCAGTCTCCCAAAGCAAATACAATATATATTTTGTCTGGAATTTATGCTGAGCTATAAGCAACTCATCCACCACCAACTCATCCACCATCCACCATTTCATACTCCTTTCTCATCTGATGTGGAATTTGCATCCACCAGCTGGAATTGATCCGGGTTCACTAAAGAAAATTTGTTCAGGATTATGTCAAGTAGCTACATACTTGACCATGTGGCAAAGATAACCCCAAATCCTTCATCCTCAACTCTACCAAGGTTACTCGAATAGATGAGTATCTACTTTCACTTGTTAGGAGATATATAACACATGGTCAGGAGCTGTCCAAAATCTTTCAGGTAGGATACTCTTCCAAGCTTTCAGAAGAGCTTTCTCACCAATCACGCATTTCACACTACCACCAGGGCCACTATAATATCCAGGGTATAATCTACACCTAGCTGGCCTCTCCGTAGGTCTATGATAACCCCACACTCTCTACCCTATAAACATATGTCTTCCTAAATAAGTTGTATCTTGCTTTCTGGCTTTGATAAATTTAGGTTGTTAAATACTGAATATATCTGTTCCCCTCTCCACACTTCATTACTATAATGGAGTTGCTTCCGTTTAATGTGGCTGCTATCTTTCATTATCATTCCTAAGAGGAAGTTTTAGTGTGTTCAAGTCGAACATGTCTGTTTCGTTCATATTATACTTCTATAGTCACCAGAATGACTTATTACCATATTTGTATGGAACATATGTTACAGCAAATAACCCAAGTGATCCTAGACGCTATTACCTAAAAGTGCTTTAATCCCCAACTCGCGTTTTATTAAACCAAAAAAAAAAAGAATAAGTATTATAATATAGCACTCTATTCAATATATCTCTGCAAATAAATTTGATTAATTTTAAGTCATACTTTATGATAATTCAAAAAATTATAATAATTACATTTCACTGCTGATCAAAGCGCGTATGAAAAAAGACACTCATACGCATGGGTGTCCACATTCGCAGACACACACTACACATATACATCATGTGCTTTTTTTCGCATACATTGTATTAGGTGAAAAATAAAATGTTGGTGGTTAATTAAGTAATTTAATTTAATGTGTGTGCTAAGCATAAAACTAATTTGCGGTCTCATTTCTGAAAAATGTTAACTTAATTATATAATTATCCTTTTGATCTTTGTGTGCATAAACGACATTGACAAGCAACTCAAATCTACTACAAAAAACACAAAAAATACAAAAAAAACGAAAAAAAGGGAATAAAACAGTTTAACAAAAACACAAAAAAGGCAGCAAAAAATTACGGCATTGACACTGCAAAATTGGAGTCACACCACGTACGCATGGCACGTCAAGTCACGTCACAATTCCGACGGAAATAGTATTATTCCATCACTGCAGGATGAAATTCCAGCATTCGCGTCGAATTATTTGTATTTTTTGCTACATTTTATGACGCTTTTGTTTTTGCAAAATGGCACAATTGAGAATTCAAGTTGGCAACTAATTTGCAACAATTAAGCTGGAACCGCCGTTACTTGATTTCGGATTGTCAACATGGCACGGAACGAGAGAGCACACAAATCAGACAGCCAACAGAATTTTACGCTGCTCTAATCAGCAAAGTTGAAGAAAGCAAATATTTTTCATATATTTTTTTATTTTATTTTACTTTTCGCTCCTTACACAAGCAGAAGTAAATTTAAGTGACATTAAACAAAATCCTTTTATGCATTATAATGAGCTTGAGCTTGAACTGGAGGTGGAGCTGGAGCTAGAGCTGGAGCTGGCGAGGAGCAAGTCACTCTTACTTACTTACTTACTTACAAATGGTCAATACAAGGCAATTGTTTACTTTGCATATTTAGACGGCGTATCCGACAAATAGTGGAAAAGGACAAAAATAATGAATTGCTGGGACACAAATATGCATAACAATAATATTCTTGACATTTTTTCCTAAGCAAGGATATTCGAAAGAATAAAAAATTAATAGCATTAGACTTTGAAATGATTTGCATAGCAATGAGTAGGGCACGCATTATTCAAGGTGCTCTGCCTGGCAGGGATCATAAAAAAGCAAATTTACAGTTTTTGTTTAAAATGCGTACGCAAAGGAATTTAAATGAGATACTTTTTGCTTGCCAATACCTATAAGGGACTGTAGGAGAAGAAACTATAGTAGGATGATTTCAAAGCACATGGAACATTTTTAGTAACATGTGAAATATACTTAATAAATTTATTTTAATAATTAAAAAATTACTTTCTGTTATTATTATATCATTTTTTTTATCTATGAGTAACTAATTAATGTCGATGAGTTACTTAACTAACCAAATAAGACATAATGCAGAACTCATTAAATATGATTGTAGAATATAAGTGGTGTGAGGATGGTATGCAGAAAAAATATTATAGTATAAAATTAAAAAAAAAAAAAAACAGCAATGATTGAGGTAATTTATATAGCTGTGGACTACACGTTAGTTTTTTTTTAGAAACCAAGAAAAAATAAAATTCTTTTTTTGAATTAAACGAATATTCGGTTTGTGTGTTAATACAAAGGTTCAATTCGTAATAGTTTCAACCAAAAAGTTACGTATGGACAACTACACCAATAGATGTTTTCAAGGACTATTAATAATGTATATATTCAAAAATGTTTGAATTTGAATGAATAAATACGAGTAAATCAATAGATATTTCAAATTACCATGAATAACGGATTTTTGACTATATCCGAAATGGCTGCATGATCAGCACATTTCGCAATGCACTCAATTAAGAATGAAAAATGTTTTGATGTTTAAATAAATAGTTTTAAATAAATCGAACTTTAAATGGAAGGAGGATGGTACTCTTCTCAATCAGCTGCAAAAATCAGCTACCACATCACATTTCCAATAATTGTGGGTAGAAAGCTGCACATATCCGAACTAGCTGGACACATCTGGTCCAGCAAGTGTCTTGTATTTGAGATCTGGTGAATATCGTTGAAAATATCACCAAGAATAATAAAGATGAGCTGAAGTCTGGTTCTGGATAAACCAGAACGTAGACACAAAAAGTGCTTCGGTGTGTTCTCGTTAAGCGCGGAAAGATATGCATTCCTGAAAATTCGATAGGACATATTGGCTACATGCTGTCTTATAATATTGTATTCCCTTCGGACAGATAAAATCGATAACACAATCACTTCTATGTACTAAGTCAGAAGTTCCATTTTGGGAATACAAAAGCCATTTAGCTGTTGAACTGGTTGCTAGAGGAATATGATCCAAATTTCTATTCGTCTGTCCCAAAAAATTGGTTAATATACTCGTATCAACTTTTGTTTGTGACTGGAAGAAACAGGGATTGACATGAGAGGTTCCATAGATATAGGGCTAAATCTCACTAGCTTATCAGCGCGCGCTAGTTCGCTGCTATATTAGAATATTTAGGAATCTAAACTTAAGTTTACTTGGAGCTACAGCAGAGTACGTTAATATAATGTCTATATTCATGAACTAGTTTAGATAACATGCAGACTATTAAATATATTTAATATGATTTCTGTTACTAATATACACTTAAGCTGCACATATATATTATGTTGAAGCTGCACTTAAGCACTTATACTCTTTTTAACTTGAGGTTTCTTCAAAATCCTTCTCTACACCTTGACTAGATTATTGTGTATGACTTCATCAGACAAAGCAATAATTGACCTCAGATCTGCATACCTTCTCGAGGAGCCTGTAACCATTTTGAGATAAGGCATTTAATTAACTGTCATTACTCAAAAAAAGGTTATACTTTTTTTTTTTAAAGTAATAAATTTCATATTAATGACCCAAAAAGCTTTTAGTTTTTATTAGTTTTGGACTCATGGTAACATTAAGAACCAAAGTTGGTACAATACCTTCTATCCAATCAAAATCAGTAATGATAGATACATAATGACTTTTTCTACTTATTTTAAATACTCTTTAATCAAACAATTTAAAGAGTTTTATTTTTTAAATCTGAATTCAATTAATTAAATTATTTGCTCATAAAGAAGATTGTAGAAGTAATAAAAATATAAAAAGTAATAGATCATATCACTTGTCGCTTTGTGTTCCGAATGCAGCAAAAACTGACAAGATTATGTTACTTATTTCTATTCAGAATAAAAATGTAAACGAGTATTGCATGTCATGTAAGTTGGCATCTTAATGTTATTATTTGACAGAATTTCTGTAATTTTAATATTTTGAAAAAGGAAAAGTCATATAAAAAATTTATTAAAACCACATTTTATGCAGACTTAGGCAAAATGTAAAAATTCTTATAATCAAATATTTTATTAAATAATGAATTATTAAACATAATAGGATAAAGTTTTAACAATGCAAATTGGTTTTCAAAAGATATTAAGTAAAAGTAAATTGTTCTTTGTTTTTTTG